GTTTTAATTATGTATTTGTCTTATATGTTAAAAGTTTGTCTCCCCCCCCCCCCTTTTTTTTAAGTTGTAAGCCGCCCTGAGTCCCCCCAGGGAAAAGGGCGGCATATAAATAAACTTTAAATCTAAATCTGGTGACTTTCAACCGAAGCAATAAAAATATCCAGGTAGTGCCAAAACTTTCAAACGCAACACTTCAGTCGTAACAATACCATATTTTTTCCCCCCCACTGTAAAATGATTACAACAGGAAACTGGTTTCAGCTGGTAGTTGCTTTGGGGTGGTTTTTCTAAAACCTCATAAAAAAATGGCCTGTGGTATGTCTTGGTTTTTTCAAACTCTTCGATAGGCACTAACTCTGAAGCATCCAATGCTTCTGAAACAGAGTCTGATCACAGGGACGAGCTTAGCGACTGGTCCTTAGCCCCAGCGGAAGAAGAGCGGGACAGCTACCTGCGCAGAGGGGATGGGCGAAGGCGCGGAGGAGGCGCGCGTGGCCAAGGCGGAAGAGGCCGGGGAGGGTTCAAAGGTAAGATCTCCAGCCCAGGTGGGTTTCGCATCGACCTTTTGGGATCTCTCTGAAATAGACACCTGCTCACTCTAAGATCGCCAGCAGCGTTTTAATAGAGGAGCAGCCCTTTTAAACAGGGTGATGCCCGAGAGCATAGAATCCTCAGTCAGACCAGGCAGGTCTTGTCGGGAAAGGGAAGGGTGGTGGCAAGACGACTTGGTTATTTGTAAAGCAGATGGAGCACGTTCAGTCAGTCAGAATAGAGCTGGAAGGGGCCTTGGAGGTCTTCTAGTCCAGCCCCCTGCTCAAGCTGGAGACCCTATACCTTTTCAGACATGTGGCTGCCCAGTCTCTTCCTAAAAGCCTCCAGGGATGGAGCAGCCACAACTTCTGTTCCACTGGTTAATTGCGCTCACTGTTGGGAAGTTTCTCCTTAATCCCAGCTTGCTTCTCTCTCTGATCAGTTTCCCACCATAGTCTCTTGTCCTGCCCGTTTTGAAAAATAAGTTGGCCGTCTCCTCTTTGTGGCAGCCCCTCAACTACTTTAGAGCCGAGGTGGCGCAGTGGTTAGAGTGCAGCACTGCAGGCTACTTCAGCTGACTGCAGTTCTGCAGTTCAGCGGTTCAAATCTCACCGGCTCAA